GTGTCTCAAGCAAAATCGACCGGACCGCTCTTACAGAGACACTCTCTTAAATGTTCAGCTAGAGCGTCTGATGTTCTGCAAAGACGTGTACGTTGTACCATGCGACATTACGCCGAGCCATTTCACGCAACGCTACACTGTTTCCATGTACGCTGTACCTCCTACACCATGCTGAGCCATTTCACGCAACGCTACACCATTTGTGTGTACGCTGTACCATTCGAAATTACGCTGACCCACGTCACGCAACGCTACACTGTTTGTGTGTACGCTGTACCATTCGATATTTCGCTGAGCCATTTCACGCAACGCTACACCATTTGTGTGTACGCTATACCATTCTACATTACGCTGAGCAAATTGACGCAATGCTTACCGTTTGTGCGTACGCTGTGCTACTCGACATTACCCTGAGCCATTTCACGCAACAGTACGCCGTTTAAACGGTTAAGAATATATGAAAGTCATATATTTGAACTGCGGTTAAGAACATATGAAAGTCATATATTTGAACTGCGGACAAAGACGTGAATGAAAGTGATCCCTTTTCAGGCCTTATTTTCACTACTGCCCAAGTAGTGCACATTACTGCGAGGATCACTTTCATTCACGTCTTTATCTGCAGTTCAAATATATGACTTTCATATATTCTTAACCGCTTATTCATCACTTCACGGATTTATTTGGAACCGACATCATGATCAGCTCCCAGTTGGCTTGTTAGCTCAGCACCGGTATCGCAGAGGTCATGGGTTCAAATCCCGTACAGGCCTGAATTTTTTTCAGGCCTTATTTTCACTACTGCCCAAGTAGTGCACATTACTGCGAGGATCACTTTCATTCACGGTACACCGTTTGTGTACTGTATTGTAAATGAGTGCTAAGCTATTCATAATTGAGCTAGTCCATTTCATAATTTCATGTTCCAACTCGACTTGGGCAACTAGACTGTTTATCATTTGGCTAAATTATTCATGTTAAGGGTGTTTTGATTCATGAAGGAAAACTAAACCGTCCATAATTTGGCCATGCCATTCCTTTTTAGCTATGCTGTCCTGCACCTGATCTGTAGACCAGCTTTGTATTTGCTGATGGTGACGGCCGCCCATAGAGTTCTATTGTTTATGTAGTCTTAAAAATGCGGGAAATTTATGGCTTTATTTGAGGATAAATCGTTTGTCCGAAAGAAACTTTGAAGGGCAAGAAAAAAATAAGATAGAACTGACGCATACTGAAGTATTAAAAGGAAAATTCGAAACGAATGGTCGGTACACACCACATTATATTGCAGGAGAAAGAGAAATACGGAATTTAACCATGGGATATTTTCTCGTGTTATTATATGTCGGGAAAAGAAGCAAGACCTTTAGCTGAATAAGTAGAGTTTAAATTGAGAATTAAATTTATCGTTCCAAATAATTCGGACTGCAATGAATGGTCCTTATTTGCCGATCACTCGAAAGCCCAAAATAATTTTTTCTGAGTGGCTCGAAAACAGAAAAGTGCATATTTCAAAAAATAAAAAATAAAAAAAAAATTAAGAGCTAATGTCAGCATGCATCAAGCAAACAGCGACAAGTCACCCAAATTTGTTTTCCCTCCTACTTTCATATTTTGTAG